AAACACAACGCAAGCCTTGCTTCACGTCGGTTTTCTGTGAGGCCGTGGTATCACTCCGGTCGAACCGGCCCATTCGTGCCGAAGCATGGCTCTCCCACACTTAAGTTTTTTAGTGGGATATATTACTAAGAAGTTTCTTTTTTGAACATCCAGGCACTGTAAGTATATCTTAGGTGGACTATGCATATTTATTTAAGGAAAAACAGTAATTTACAGTTTTACATACCTAAAAATATTTTACTAATTTTGTAAGTCTAACCGAAATTGCCTTTAATTATTCGGGGAGCTTAATGTGACCTTTAAATTTTTGCCAAGGTCAAACGTTTTTGGTCAATAACTCCATCCCACGCGTTGCACCATATTTTGAAAAACTAAATAAAGGACTTTATCCTCATTGTAATAGGTATGAAACAATTAAACTAGTAATTGGGCAATTATATTCCAGTTCACAATGTACATTCTTACCAAAATTCATACATAACATCACGCCTTTTATCCCAGAAGGGGTAGGCAGAGGTGCACATTATGCCACTGTACAATGTAACACCCACTTTTTACTATTTATGTTATGAGTCCCATGTAATAGGGGGTGAGCCTATTGCCATATACCGGGCACGATCTAGACTCCGTGCTACGTGTACAGTAATATTTTGCCCGACCCGTGAAGCGAACCCGAGACCCCTTGCCCGGCAGTCGCACTAGCGACCACTCGGTCAATGAGGCAGTCCAAAATTCAGTAGTTTTTAGTTGAAAGAGTGACGACCTGCCTGATCCTGATAGCGCATCTAAATATCCTATCCCCACAAACCTTGGTAATTAGAGGTACAATATTAGTAGAACTGAATGACATTCACGAACAGCTACCTACAACCTACATGAAATATTCATATTGCAATTCAGATTTTTAATTACAGCCGCAGCACTAATCTCCGAAATATTTATTGCAACTTTTATTGCCGAAAAACTCATTTCAAAACCAAAAAGATAACACTAAACATAATCCCAAAATTACTTGAACACACATTTGATCATTTATTAATGTTTTCAAAAAAATTTACTTTAACATTTAGCAACTGAACTTGCTGTTAATAAAACCTTACTGTTTTAACACCAAGGGCTTACTTTAAAACTAGTTATTTTCACTGCTTCACTCGTTATAACATAACATCACGCCGTTTATCCCCGAAGGGGTAGGCAGAAGCGCACATTATTATAGCACTTAATGCCACTGTACAATGTAAAACCCACTTTTCACTATTTATGTTATTAGTCTCATGTAATAGGGGGTTAGCCTATTGCCATATACCGGGCATAATTTCAAAATCCGTGCTACTACTCATTATTTATTTTAAAAACCCACTAATTCTTTAACCAACCCGGGAATCGATCCCGACTGCTACGACTGCTTCACTCACTATTTACGTATTTAGTTTTAAAGCTATATCATTTTTATGTACCACGGTAATATGTTACTTTACATCAAAATCAGAAAAAAGACCTGGTACTACGCAAACCTCTTTATAAAAAAGAAAATCAAATGTTTATTTTTTAAATAAAAATTAAAACATACAAACTCTTTTGTCTTCTTACCTTAGTAAGTAATATTTGTTTCACCGTTATAAAAAGGTTTTGTGAATCACATTTTTGCGTATACCTGATGCACCATGTAAGGTGTGGCTAAATTCTTTTATTTACCTTAAATTCTGCAGCATACATGCCTACAGGATTTGGTTAGATCATTTTCAAGATCAAACCTTCGTGGTGTCTGTTAGTAACAATTTTTGGGGATTACCTAATGAATGAGATACTACGTGCATTTAAAATATGTTAAAAAGTGACAAAGGTTTTATTTAGAGCATGGTCATCTGAGCCTTTTTGAGATTTATAAAGTTAATGTTTACATTTAACATAACATAACATCACGCCTTTTATCCCCGAAAGGGTAGGCAGAAGTGTACATTATGCCACTGTACAATGTAACACCCACTTTTCATTATTTATGTTATGAGTCCTATGTAATAGGGGGTGAGCCTATTGCCATATACTGAGCACAATTCCAGACTCCGTGTTACTACTGAGAATTTATAAAAAACTCAGTTGTACGTTGCCCGACCCGGGAATCAAACCCGAGACCTTGCCCAGCAGTCGCACTTGCGACCACTCGGCCAACGAGGCAGTCATGTTAATATTTCTAAGACTCAATTTATTAAGGTGGAATGGAGAACACAGAATTTAAAAAAGGAAATTTGAGCGAAATGTTCGATAAGTAACTGTCCTTTAAATTTTAATTAAGAGCTCTGGTATACGTGTGATTCCCAATGATTCAGATTTTCTGTTTTGCTCAATATTGATCCTTATCTACCTACTTCTTAATCATAATTTCGATAATATATCCCATGTCCGCTTTCCTCGTCCACTTTACCTTGTATTTTATTTAAAAAAATGTTATAACTGTTAAAATATTCGTTTTTGGGAATACCCTTGTGAGATCTGTATTTTTTCATGTAGGTTGTTAGTCATCAGCTGAATGAATCTGGATCCTCAATCAAGATTAGAATTGTTTATGTAGTATGGAAGTTTTTATAAATAACGCTTTTGCAACATTTCTTTTTTAAATACTACTACAAATACATAATGTAAAGTTAGTCACACAGATAAAAAATGTATAAAGAGTTTAAGAGACCAATGTAACTAATACTAATAAAGATACTACTAAGTTCAACTTAGAACTGTAAAAGAGCACCGCGTATTGTATATGCTCTAAGGTCTAAAAACTGAGACAAATACATACATAATTATTTCAGAATTTTTCCCATTCATCCACATCACATTTTTTTTATAGCATTGACCCGTAAACTAGCAGACGGATCACCTGATGGTAAGCAATCGGCGCCGCCCATGGACACTCGAAACACCAAGACGTTACAAGTGCGTTACCGGCCTTTTGGGAATTGGGAATTTGAGGATTGTGGAGGATTCGGGGATTCGGCAGACGGGGACTAGGGAGGGGGGTAATTGGGGATGCGGTAACCTCACTCACTCACACGACGAAACACAACGCAAGCGTTGTTTCACGTCGGTTTTCTGTGTACATTACAAAAATAAACATTGACTCATTATTACGTATGCTAATATCAGATTTACAAACCAAACCCGTATGACATAGGGAATTAAATGGATACGAAACGTCCCTTTTTTTGGTTTTTCAACAATCCCTGACAATTTTAAGTAATAAACATACGATTATATATGACATGTGTATGATATTTGTATGGGATGCCTCTTTATACGCTGTACACGTTCATTTTGCTCTGTATCAAGTCAAAAATGCATAAATGCAATGTAGATACTGTCAAGAACTTTAGTCGGTGGCTTTTGTGAATATTTTACTTTAAAATTAAATATGTAATTTCGTGTATAACCTTACGTTTGAAGACAAAGGGTGCGCCCACGCTTTGATAAAGTTAATTAGACTTGTTATAAAATACATGTAATAAAAGTACAACTGCGGTAATTATTTCTGTAGGAATCAAAATATTCTGCCTCGTTGGCCGAGTGTTTGCAAGTGCAACTGCCGGGCAATGGGTTTCGGGTAAGATTCCCGGGTCGGGCAAAGTACTATTGGGTTTTTTTTTAATTTTCAATAGTAGCACGGAGTCTGGAATTGTGCCCGGTATATGGCAATAAGCTCACCCCCTATTACGTGGGACTCATAATATAAATAGTGAAAAACGGGTGTTGCACTGTATAGTGGCATAATGTGCGTCTCTGCCTACCCCTTTGAGGATAAAAGGCGTGATGTTATATATGTTATATACGTTACATATCGGTCAGATAATTAAATAAGTTATCTTTATTATTAAGGTACTTACAATCTAAGGAAAGAAAAAAATAAATAAAAATATACAAGTTAAGAGACAATAAAACTAAAAGAGAAAATTAAATAAGTATTTATTAATAGTTATTAGATAAATAGATGTTACATGGTTATTGCAGGTTTCAAAGCTGTAACAAAATAAATTTTCATTTCGTTCCTATGACCTATTATCTCCTTTTACGTATTGCTTATTTGTGATTTTTTTTACATATTGTCCAACCGGTTAATGAGGCCGCTAGATACTTTCCTAGCTAGAGTCTAACAAGCAGTTGATCCTATTTTCACAATATTTGATGTTAAAAGTTAATGTTACATAAATAGTGAAAAGTGGGTGTCACATTGTACAGTGACATAATGTGCACGTCTGCCTACCCCTTCGGGGATAAAAGGTGTGATGTTATGTTAATGTTAAATTAAAGATAAGAAAACGTCTGTATGTACATCTTAGTCTACTATCGAAAACTAAACTTAAAAATGTATATTAAACGGTCGTATGTCTAAACGCGGATCCACGCGAGACACAATAATATATTTCCTATAGTGTCTCATATACCAGTGATTAAATTACTAAAAACTAAAAAAAATTAAAGACAACAAAATCTCATTCAACAAATATATATTTAACTATATAATCAGTTCGACCTTGAGTCCTACACACGACCTAAAGTAAATACCATGAATCATAGAGATGCAAGCCTTAAGACCAATTAGAACTATTCACGTTACCCTATTTCGGTCAAACGCTAAGTAAATAAGTAAATAAACGTTACTACGCCCACAACTCGTTGTGAATGAAGCACTTGCTAGCCCATTCATAACTTAAGTAATAGTACAGTCTGCTAAGTTTCTTGTGACTTCAACTTAAAGTTGAACGTTAGGTGTTTACTGTGAACTTTAAGTTAATCCGAAAAAAATTATAAAAGAAAATATATATCTCCGGAATTTTCACATTCACAGCATCGGAATGCAATAAAAACAATAAAATTGTCAATAAATCTCATTTTAACCCAAAATCGCATTTATTAATCATATGATCTAAGAGCGAGGTCATTGTGCGCAGGCGCAGAGATGTGCGAACGCATGAGGACGCAGGATATTTCGCTATAAAAATGTGGGGCGACCCCTTGTGACCACAGTATCGAACGGGGATCGGAAGGACACAGACATGAAGCTGGTGAGTCCTTGGAAATTTAAGTTTAGTGCCAGTGTTTGTGAAAAATAAATATTTTTAAATTAAAAAAATTAAATCAGTGAAAAAATTTAAAAATTAAATTTTCGTGCTTGGTTGTATGTACGTTAATGTAATGTGTTTGTTTCGATATTTAATATTTAAAAAACATATCAATATTTGAAAATTTTAAAACAGTGTAATAAGCTAATATTACACCAGTACTAAACCTTACAATTTATACGAAATAATTTAACTTTAAAAAAATATTAAGGGACAATTTTTCAATGCTCAGATAAATTTTAACTGAGGAATAACTTAATATTTGACAATTCGTCCATACTAACAACTGTCAAATGTTAATTTTATCCTAAAAATCGGTCCTAAAGATAATTATTTAACTACCAAATACTGAAAGGGTACTTACTCCATTTTAAATTTTACTTAAATATCGTGTCATCTTTGTAACTTTACAATGAATTTGTAGTGACAAAATTATACTTAAGCGCTACTTATATTGAGTATCGTTTCAGTATTCGGTCATAATGCTCCTAGAAATAAATTACTCAAATAATTAAGAATGAAGAAGCTTCTAATTGAGTGCCATTTCGCGCTAATCACCAATTTGAAATTTAATTTTCTCTCAAACCAAAACCTAATCTCATATCATTTAGCAACCAATTTAGAATTTCAACTTAATATTAATTAACTAAGACTCAAATTAGAACGAAATATAGTTTGGAATAAGCGTCAAATTCGGTAAAGTTACACTAAATTGGCCTGTCTACACACTAATTTCGCGGATTAAAATCAGTCAATTCATACTCATAAAGATTTAATAAAATTTAAACGAATTTAAATCTGGCTAGAGTACAGTACAACGCTAAAAATCATTCTCATTATATGAATATGTTTATCTTACTTAGTTACTATATTTTACTGAAAGCACCTAACTTCGCTAACATTTTGAGCGCCTCTCTTGTTCACAGAAAACGTATTAGCAAATTTATTTACACAAAACCTTCTTCTAAGTTTTTAAAACAGCTCACACTTAAAGTACCAATAACTTACTAAAACCCTTGAATGTATTCAATAAAACACTGATTCACACGATTATAAATTCATTATGTACCTACAGAAACTAAATAAACTTTAATTAAAACTAATCCAAAAAAATCTTCCACAGCTACTAATCTTCGCCGCCATCTTGGCTTTCTCACTGGCAGAGGAGAAGAAAAAGGAAGAAGTCCTTAATGACTCTGAAGCCGAAGCATCAGCAACGATTGAGCTTATGAAAGAGGGAGTGGATTTAAAAGCAGCTGCTAGTACATACAACTCCTATGTACCTCCTAGCCAGCGACCTCCTCATTGGAACGTAAAACCCATCCAGCCAATCCATACATCTGTACCCGCCAACGTACAGAATGACTATTATGACCACCACCAATGGAGCACCCCGGTCTACCACCCTCCTACAACCACCACTCCAGTTTCGGTGATCAAGAACGAGCAATATTATGGTGAAAATGGACATTACAAATACGAGTAAGTTCATAATATTTATTTCAAAAAAGATAAGTTTTGGGGTTCAAGTAAAAACATTTCGTCAAAACGACTTTTAGTCCACTCTAGAACAATCTTAAATTACGAATATCTTCGTATACACCGCGACCGCGACAGATAGCAATGATGTAGGAAAAGGAGTCACCTTTAGGAAGTTTAACTAATGTATTTACTCAGATACATGTCCTTGCAAAGTTCTAAACCACGCTAAAGATTAAAGACATTACTCACTTTAATTCTGGTCTCAAGAGCACAATCTACAAATACGAGACTTAGGTGTAATCTTGACGAAACCGAAGTAATCTGTAACAAGTGTTAAAGCTCCGTAAAGTAATATTGTGAGCCTACATACGCTTAATAGCAATTACTTAACGCAGAGTTCAGAACATCATTAAACGCCTACGTGATAATAAATCTGGCCCAAAATGTTGGAAATCTCCTTATAGATTCTTTTTAATCTCAGTAACCTAATAATTAAGTATGTTATTCCCTTAGAGGATTCGTAGGCTATTTACTCAAGTTTGCTTATGCGTTTTCGTCAGTTATATGTAAGTTAAACCTATTGTCTATATGGATGAGCCAACAATAGTTTTATTCGTGATTTTGGCGTAATACTCAAAATATCTTCATAGAGCAGTGTCTGGCTACTCGACCAAAAAGTTATATTTCGGTTCAGTTATAATCACATTTCCATCATTTAAAACACACAAACCGCAAATATTGAGTCCATTGTCCTTGACAATCATAACTCGGTTCGAAATGCAAATATTATGTAAAAATCTGTGTTATGATGACACAGTCCCTAACGGTCGGGCCAACCGCTCATACAGGTTTCACAAAATCCCAGGTCATCTTGACCATAACTGTTAATGTCATCAGACCTCCAACAAGGTCCTAATTTTGTGTAGGTAACCCCCATAATAACTGTATCGTCAACGCCATCAGCAGGTAAAAATCTTGAAATCTTTTAAAAATTTACCGTTGTCCCATCGAATCGAATTTATTGATCCATAATTTTTATGATGTCTCGTGTTTGTGAAGTTTTTTATATTAAAATTCATTTTCATAGACATGTAGACTAAATAAGGAATATATTAACGGATCAACCTATTGAACTACCAACGATAGAGATGTTTTGGTTTCTCCATTGTTTTGTAGATAAACTCTTTATGTGGTCATTTAGGTATAGTCTCAAGCGGATGATATAAGTAGAGTTGATAAAAAACCAAGCACATCCCGCGGTGATAACAATCTTTATAGTGTGGCAGGCCTTGATAAAAAGTAGCACGCGAACATAAAGGAACATTATCATAGATCATTTTCGTACCTACGATGTCGCTTCCGAATCAATGCTTCGATGGAAAATATTTACTTTTTAGTCATCAGTTACATTCTTTAGTATACTTAACTAGTTAATAAAAACTTCACAAAAATGTGCTGATTGCGAATTCTTTCAGACATTTCAATTCTCGTTAAAGACCAAAAGAAGTAAAATTAGAATGATGGTACGAACACCAAACCAATTTAAACCTTAATCTTTTACCCATAGATACCAGATCGCAGATGGCACTCACGTCGGAGAAGAAGGTTACTTCACTGACCCCAAGCAAACTGAGGAGAGTCTTGTAAAGAAGGGCTGGTACTCCTACGTCGGTGCTGATGGCAAGAAGTACACCGTTACCTACTGGGCTGACAAGACTGGCTTCCATGCGTATGGTGACCATCTGCCTACCCCTCCTCCTCCATAGTAAGTATAAAGAACCTTTTTTGTTTAATTTGAAGTTATTGGTCTTCTTAATGTAAAGATATGATGGGTCCGGGAACAATTGCCTTTCCTTTGAGAAAGAAAATACAATAAGCTTGACTGTAGAATGTGTATGTCAAGATTAAAAAATGATTGCGCGGTGAACAAGTGAGACCTGCTGCGGCATAAAGGGTCGTGGGTTCGTGAACACTGAACAATCTTTAGGAACAATTCTTTTCCGTAGTCCATAGGAATTCAAATGTTTGTAACCACAACCTAGGCAAACATTTTAAATAAGACAAACCTACTATAATTAATAGAATAATGATATAGCATAGCGATAGACACAAGCACATCCACCACAACAAATATAAATAAAATTAATCAAAAACGAATAATAACAAAGTCCTAATCAAAACGCGTTACCGAAACGCAATTATTTTTCTCCAAATCGGTATACTAGTATTACAATGTAAGACGTGGTCCCTTTTCCTGAACAGGAGGGCGTGTTCTTGAGTGAGTTATAGCCACAAGTTGTTTGTCATAGCCGTAACAAATGGGTACAAATAAAAATAACAAACAAAATAAAATAAGTTTTAGAAATGAACGCAACGAAAGTGTTTTGTGACGTTGATATGATTGTTATTGTATTACATGATAATAGTGACTGATGTGCAATGAGTTTCGGGTCCGATTTCCGTACGTACGTAACACTAATAGCATGGAGTCTGTAATAGTTTCAGAATCTGTTATGTATGCCTAGTACAAATAAATAAAATAGCCCTTTATTCAGATCCAACTAATAACTGTTACAGATTTTAAAATTGCCTAAGATTTGCATTACTTAGGTCTAGTATCTATAAAATACATATTACTTATTTTCTGGAGATCTGTTTGCCGGTCGGCAAAGACCTCCTCCAACCGTTTCCATTCATTTCGTTCTTGAGCTGTATGCTTAGTATCTGACATAAACACATTCAAGACAAAAACATTGTGAAATGTCACACCTCACCTAAAAAATAAAAGTGTGATTTTTATGATATGCAGCAGAGCGTGACACATTTTCTAATGTTTTGGTATTATTTACAGTTTGCTACCGTAACCAGTTTCATTCCAAACCATCGCGAATCTAGTCCATAGGAATATTTTAACTAATAATATATTAGTCGTACCGTTACAAATTCCATTTTTGATATTTACTAACAAATGTGAAAACTTAATCCGCATAAACCGTTCTATGAAATCCAAAAAAGAAGAGATGTCTATAAAAAAATTAAGTAGCTGTATACAGGATGGACTACATAGGTTATAGATGGACTACATACATAGGCCTTGCCATTAAGTAGATTTTTCATTTCTTCTATAACAATCTTGTACTAACAGTGACAAGAATAACATAAAAAACGCATCGCATCAACCACTTCATTTCTCTGCACTTCCCTATGGTTGACTGTAAGAGAATGCCTTAAGGCATTAAGTTCGCCATTCACTGTATTTTGTGAAGAAGTATAAAAAAAAAACTTAATACGATGCGGTACAGTCATTCAGAATTCATGTCCAAATAAACAATTCTATGATTCATTTCTGTTGAAGATTATATCAAGGTTCCCAATGTAATAAACTTCTTATTAAGTAGAAACAGATTCCACAGAGATTAGAAACACATTTTTACAAAGCCAATTAACACTACAGTTAAATAAAACTAAACAGGAACATCTATTATCTCAATTACAAATCGAGAAAACAGCGGCCATTTTTATAAATGGCTAATTTACCGTTATAAAATAACAAATGACGTACAACTAAAAGAAGTTCGTAATTTGAACATGGAAACGGTTTAAACTGTCCGCCCGCTTGTCACATCAAACTTGTATTAGCATAGAACATAATAGATGGTGGGTCAACCATGTTAAATAGACATTTAAATGTGTTATAAATCAACTTTGAAGTATAATAACTTAAGTAATACGGTTCTAAATTGGATAAACGTTTTAGAGTATCGATTTGTTTTATTACCGAGTATTTATAACTAAAATAGCTTTTTCAAAGTATATTGGACTTACTGAATTTTCGACTTTAAATACATCTGCAATATGATCCTTAAATGGTAAGCAATATGATTGCTCTCTGTTACACGGTACACAAAACACAACTGGTAGGAAATCGTAGTTTACACGTAACACGTGCACTTCTGTTTACTTCATTAATGAAGAATGAATACAACAAGTTTACAAATATACACATGTGATATGAATAATTAGCATAATTGTACACAATCCAGTACAATCTATTGTTTCTTTACAAATTAAATATTAACTCATAAATAATAACTAATAAATAATAAGATTTTTCAATATATGTTATTATAAACTCTTTATTGATAAATCTAACGGAATTTATTGTTTCGTTGAAATTACTTCCTGTAATAATGTAGCAATGTTGTAATTATCACATGACAATTAAATTCCTTACAGTTTTACATACTAAGAAAATTGCGTAGCAATTAAATCATCAGGAAGAATTCTTTTAATAAAGAAAGAAACAATTAGATGCGAAAGAAATTATTTTAATTTAATTAATAATATGATTATAACAAAACAGTGCCAAATCTATTAAAAGAAATCAGGTAAATAACAAAAGATTTGTTTAAACAATAAGAAACAAAACTGTCACCTCACTATGGTGTATTCAACATGTATGGCAATTAAAAAAGAATTAGTACGAAATAAATAGATACCAAACAGTTTTTTGTTCGAACAATTTATGGTTATCTTGACCATAAAACGAAGGCGTCGTCTCTTTATACATCTATAACACTTCGCATGACATAATCGTCCAACCTTAAGATGTCCGATTTCGGATTTCCTGTGCAAACCTTTAGTTGAATTAAAGACCAGAAAACCTTGTAAGACCTTGAAATACTAAAATATTTGACGACTATTTTATTAAAAAATGACCTTATCAAATATATGTGTCTTTTATTGTTACAGCAAGCCACCCGTAGTTGACAACAAGCCTCTTTACGACTACCCAACCCAGACACAGGCGCCAGCAGTCTTCTACCCAACCCAACCAGCTCCAGTGCCCGTGAAACCAATCTATGTGCCACCTCAACCTACCCTTCCGCCTGTACAACAGCCAACCTATGCCCCTCAACCTAGCTACCCCCCTCAGAACTACTACCCTCCCCAACAAACGTACTACCCTCCCCAACAGACGTACTACCCCCAACAACACAACCACGTTTAAATCATAAATAGGTAGTGGTATATTTATAAAGAAAACAACGACCATAGAGATTATTTTTGTATTAAAAATGAGAACTGTTGTATCCTCTGTACTTTAAACTGCATCGTTTATAAATATTTGATCATCATCAGTCGAAAGTATTGTGATAAAGGTTTAACTTTCTTGGACTCATAATCGTATTAAGATAATACCGCCATGAGACCAAGTTTCGCTTAACGCAGGCACAGTAAAAAGTAATGTCGACCAAAGTATTCCACTCGCTTTACTTTCATATCGATATTTCGTATTTTTCTAATCGTATCGATGAATTTTAATGTACAGACACATTTAGCTCTATAGGTATACGAATAATATTACCTCTGAACGATTTTAGCGATGTAAATCGATGCGATCGATTGAAGTCAGTGATCTTAGTCACGATTATGAATTGTGAATTCGATCACTGATCGAGGTATGACAGGTTTTGTGATAGTATTGTATGTTCAAAGCCTAATATGTGATGTATTGGTAATCAATAAATAAGTTTTGTATATAATTTGTTGTATCATTCTGAATGTAATCCTTAAACCCTTAGTTTTTGACGAGAGGACAATAAAGAGAAATGGCATTAAGATGAGAAAGATAAAATTCATATTGTATTAACTACGTCAAAGACTACGTTAAAGACGTCAATTTGAATAGCATTTAACAACTTATTGCATAAAAGATTTTGCAAAATCCGTAACAATGATGTATTTAAATATTATAGTAGTCATAACTACGAAGCTGCCTCGTTGGCCAAGTGGTCGCAAGTGCGACTGCCAGACAAGGGATCTTAGGTTCAATTCCCGGGTCGGGCAAAGTATTACTGGGTTTTTAAAAAAATCGCAGTAGTAGCACGGAGTCTGGAATTGTGGCCGATATATGGCAATAGGTTCACCCCCTATCACATAGGACTCATAACATAAATAGTGAAAAGTGTGTGTTACATTGTGGCATAATGTGCACCTTTGCCTACCCCTTCGGGGATAAAAGGCGTGATGGTATGCTTAACTACGAAGTCTTTTTTTTTCAACATAACGTCATCGTTGAGTCCAATCAGGGTTTTATTAATATACACAAATAAACATAAAGCTGTCTTGCAAAGCAATTAAGGAGGCGTTGAAATTGCATAAAAAGAAAATAAATACACATATTTGGAAAAAAAAATCAGTTTGGAACAAGAATCACATAATTTTAACGAGGTAAAAAAATAACCCATTTTAAACCTACTGAGTTGGTAATTTAACCGCGGTAGGTTTTAACCAAAATTCTTCAGAACCGGTTTTTAGGTCATTGACTCGACTTTGACCATTACAGAACTTGCATCACTTTACGACACGCGAATTTGGGATGACCGCATAAAACCTTCAATTTATCTTGCAATTTATCGAACGCAGTCTCTTCGCATCCGCCTCAGGGGTTTTTGATCCCTTTAATTAATTAAAATCCATGAATCACTCTGTTCTTTCTGTCCTTTTCCTTTTACAAATACATTTTATTACAATCGACTTAGAATGAAAGACAATGCATTACTTACTCCATTGTTAAATACCTATTAATCGAATTCCTAAAGCCAAGACCTATATATTAGAAGGTTCGTCTATAATATCACAGTCATCTTTTAAAAATCCAACAAGTAACAAATAAGTTCTCATTCTTCAGCATTAGTAGCGACAGTCATATTTCTGAGGTAATTGTCTTGAACGCTACTGCTATAAAAACGCTGAAGGCAACTAATATCAACACCCCAATATTAACTAATACGTGAACGTCGTCCAATGGCCGTTTTACTTTGAGGATATAATTGTGGCTAGAGCTAATGCAGCATTGGATGCGAGATAAAAACAACAACGGAGCAAAAAGCGTGCATCAAAGAAGAGAAACGTTAGTCAAACGATCTCTTTCACGAATGCCTGGACACACATCGCGTGTATATAAATATATGCGGAATTCATTTTCATTACCAGTCTATTTTCCACAAGTGCTATAGTGTGACGTGAAAACTGTTATCAGAAACATTGACAGCTTCAAGAAAAATGAAGCTGGTAAGTGAAAAGTGTTTGTGTTTAAGTGGAATCGGATTTTATTTGGATGGTTTGAAACCGTAAGTTAGCTCTCGATTAACACTTAATATTATTTTTCAGATACCATTATTCATTTTGACGATAAGTCTAGCTGTGGACAATATAGCTCACGAACATTTCACTTTTCCACCACAATTCCAATCTAATATGTTTACATCTGAAAAAAATCCTTACTTACCGCCAGAGGCTCATACTCCTCATCCTTATTTTCAAATGAATAATAACATAAATAAATTACAATTCCCATATCTTCCCCCGACCGCAACAAAGGCTCCAATGGGATACCCTTCACCGTTCCCTATGATGATGTCTTCAACAATAAGACCTATTAGAATCGAAGATGATGACGATGATGAAGACAATAAACCAACAACAGCGCGGTCGGTTTCCTTAAGAAACACATATAATCACACTGGAAAAATGCCTAACCAAATGGCGGAAAGAAGAGAGATGAGACCTCCACCAAAGAATTTTATCCATCCCATTGATAGAATAGATACGAAAATGCCTTTTCAATTTAACTCCAACCCTGAACCCTCAACGCAAAGTGCACCAACGCAAACGATGACACCACGCAGTATAAACATAATGGATTTCCATCGAGATCACTCTGTGGATCAAATGAAAGCAGCTAGTTTTCAAGGCCCACAATATGTGCCGCAGCCTGGTGTATTCATCTCTTCTACAACAGAAACTGCGATACCCATTCTACGTTTATCAAACGAAATGGATTTAGATGGGAGCTTTAGTTACGAGTAAGTGCGATTTCATACCTTTTGTACAAAAACTACATTTTGTACAGAACTAATTATCATGTAATATTTTAGGGCTTTAGGAGCAGATCAGACCCATTACGTGCAACATAGTCGCATGGAAAATGCAGGTACTGGCAAAGACGAGCAAGTTGTTGAGGGATCATACTCGTATGTGGGAGATAATGGAAAGACATACACGGTTCACTATATTGCGGATGCGAATGGTTTTAGAGCAAGTGGCGATCACTTGCCGGTTGCACCGCCGATTCCTGAAATTATTCAGAGGTCTGTACTTGTTGTAATAATTTTGTAACGATACTTATTTCTACAGGTAGAATGATAGAAATAATAATAAATTAATAATATTTTCAGAGCAATTCAGTACAACCTAGTCGAAGAATCGAAGAAACCACCGCATTTGAAATCATGGAATGGGGAACAACAAGAAAACGAATTAAGCGAAAGTGAAAAACGACATCAGTTCGCTGTCTCACCGCCGCGCCTTAGTAGTCTATTTACAGGAAAAACTCCCGAATCATTCTCGCATAGTTTTTCACAACAGTCGAACACACAAAATAATTTAGTAGCCGCAGCTAGTTCGCAGACTCCGGTTCAAGCGGCCATTAACTTCGCAGATCAAATGCAAACTAAACAAAACAGTGGAACAATTTCCCCACAAATAACTTTTCTGGCTTCACAGGGTGCTCACGTTCCGTCTGTGAACGCGCCTGAACCCATAAATAGAATGTTCACAACTGAAAAATCAACAATGCCTCAGTTAGTAAATTACGAAGCAAACATGAAAGAGTCCGATCAAGAAAGTAACAAGGCTTTGTGGAGGTGGCAGTACGGTATTAATGCCAACGGTAATCAAAATAATAACATGGAGAAAAACTCCATATCGAGATCATTCGGCACAGATGACATTGTTATCAACTTCAATGATATGACTCCCGATCAGTATACCACAATGATAAAGCAACAACTAGAACCAAATATAAAAGAAAACATGGAAATGACGCAAAATCTAGATTCAAAAGACATTAGTTATTATTCTGATTACAAAAAATATTCAGAAAATGATTTTAATAATTACTCTCAAGAGAATTTAAAGGCTGACAACGCTATAAACAGCGATGAAAAACAATACTCAACTGAAAGAATTGCACCTTCGATTAATCAAAATAACTGGCATCAAAACCAAATTGACACAAGGAAAAACGATCTTCCTAATTCTGATGACGACGTTAACCAATTACAAAATGAAGACACCCAAACATCTAGGCCAACACTTATTACGCAACAAAAATTTATTCCTCAAAGTCAAACGGTAACACAAAACTACAATTACGTTGACGACAATTTCGAATCTAGGAGAACCAGAATATTAAACACTGCTTCCTCAAATATTCATGAAAATAAATTGACTGTTTTACCTTTAAAATACTACACAAATTCAGACCGTAAGCACAATGTAAAGCATGACATTAAAACCGAATCGGAAACTGCTGTCACTTATGAACCACCCACGACGACTGTTAAAATGTTTAACCATTCAACAAAAGGCGGTAACATAAAATTCACCGACTTTATTATACCTCAGAATGAGAATGATTTCAAACCAGTATTTTCATTTACGGAACCCATAACTGAGCCTACTACTACTACAACAACAACAGAAATAAACATTGAACAAGCAATTGAAGAGAACCTTTTCTTAAAAAATCTATTTAGAAATCATAAAAATGAAGCCGATGTTAATAACAAGATAAGAGATGAAAATAATAACAAAGTAAATCTTCAAGTTAAGCCGATTGAAACGAGAGTCGAGAAACAGCCGAAATATGTATATCAAACTAAACTCCTCAATGAAGTCAAAGCTTTAAAGAAGAAGCCCGTGGACATAGCCGATATATTAAATTACATAGCTAAGAATCAGTTTGAATCTGGTAAATTAAAACCGGCGACAAAACAAGTGGCTAATAACATGAAACAAAAATCTGAAATGCTTTACTATACTCCTGAACAAGATATTGATGATGAAACAGTCAATCGACACCAGCGTACACAGCCACAGCAAGAAGAATTACGTGGTGTTATAAGAAATTATAAAGTCCTACATCGAAACAATAACTATGCTAACGTAGAACGAAATGAAGACGATGATGGATTGAAAAGGAATTTAAGTCCACCGCCTTTAAGATCTGTAAATTTACCTCCTTTGGGCCGCGCTGGCCCATCAATGAAATCTTACTTGCCTCCGATTTACATATAAATAAGAAAATTCTGTGATTAGTTTAATTGGCTTCGTAAATTTTAAGAGGAGTTTGTTTTGTAAATATGCCTTTCATGCATTTATTAGGGTAAGTATGTTGAATAAATATTACGTAAAACGGTTACTGCTTTTTGTTTCATTGTTTTAGAACACTACATGGTCAAACTACAATGCAGATACTTATTATCATCACTGTATTAGAAATTAACACACACACTTATGTATCTAAACTACATGGCTCTGAAAGCATAAGTAAAGTAAGTGAAGATAGCGTGCGCATCTCAGATGCATCATCTCGCCATCTGTACTGAAAGCGTAACGAGAAT